TCGATTATTTATGAGAGAAAAAACCAGTATGCGGAGATTTCAAGAACAAATTGTAAGTTTGTTTTGGGGAGATCAGAACAAATCAGCTAAAGAAAACTTATTCTTGCTATGATATTAATAGCGTACTCCATCATACTTTAAGGAATTGATTTAATGAGCAAATTCAAAGCTTAAAACAAGGTTTATAATCCCTTTTTTTCCGACAAAGATTCCATTATTTTTTTTAGAGAAAGCGAATTGATTAACCAACATAATTGCTCTGATACCACATGTTGATCAATTCTTAAACATAAAGTATAAATTAGGGATTTAATCATCTGTACCTGATAATCCTGTAAACGTAGTTAGGGATGAGGCCATGATTCTCACACAGATCGAGTTCCCGTTTAGGGTGTATTATTATGATGACTAAGGTGAGAATGACTCACGAGACTAGAGAGGCAGAGAGGAGGCGTAAGATTGGTGTGTTAATCTCTGCCTAATGACCTCTATATATATACACCCAAGGGGAAACCCTAATTAGGTCATAAGGGTAATTACGTCCATCGAATAATTACAAATTAAGTACGTAGGGTATTTATTAGGTCAATGATCAATTAATTAGATAAATGATAACTCAGGCCACATAATAAAATCGTGTCCAACATCTATTGCTTTGATAACACATGTTGAACACCACGGCTCTCCAAAGATGTAGTGGCGACAAATCTTCAAGGCGAACACCACGGCTGCCAACTCTAAATCATGTGTCGGGTAGTTCTCCTCGTGAGTCTTCAACTGTCTCGATGCGTAGGCCACTACCTTACTCAACTGCATCAGTACACAACCTAAGTCGTTATGAGATGCGTCACTATAGATGGTATACTCGATGCCAGGAGTAGGTTGAATCAAGACTGGTGCCTGGGTCAGGCACTCCTTCAGTTGATCAAAACTGCGCTGGCACGCTTCTGACCACTCGAATTTGATGTCCTTACGCAGTAGCTTGTTCAATGGAGTAGCGATCGAGGTGAAGCCCTTATCAAATCGACGATAGTAACCGGCTAACCCAAGGAAGCTCCTCACCTCACGAACATTCCGCGGAGTCTTCCAATCCACTATGGCTGAAATCTTGCTGGGGTCTACCTGGATACCGGTGGCAGAGATAACATGTCCTAAGAATGTCACCTCACTCAACCAGAATTCACATTTAGACAATTTTGCATACAGCTTGTGCTCTCTCAACACACTCAAAACCAATTGCAAATGTCTAGCATGCTCCTCCTGAGTCCGTGAATAAACCAAGATGTCATCGATGAACACTACTACGAATTGGTCCAAGTATGGTCGGAACACACTGTTCATAAGCTCCATGAACACTGCCGGGGCATTAGTCAATCCGAAAGGCATGACTGAAAACTCATAATGCCCATAGCGTGTTCTAAAAGCAGTCTTCGGAATGTCTTCTCTCTTAACGGAAATCTGATGGTATCCAGAACGCAGATCGATCTTCGAGAATACTGTAGCCCCTCTGAGCTGGTCAAACAGGTCGTCGATGCGAGGCAACGGATAACGATTCTTCACTGTGGCTTTGTTCAACTGCCTGTAGTCGATGCAAAGTCTCATGGATCCATCTTTCTTTCGAACAAATAACATCGGTGCTCCCCATGGGGAAACGCTAGGTCGGATGAATCCCTTTTCCAGTAGCTCTTGCAACTGAGCCTTCAACTCCTTCATCTCGGCAGGTGCTATACGATACGGTGTAGCAGATATGGGTTCCGTACCCGGAATGAGATTGATCGAGAACTCTACCTCTCTCGGCGGAGGCAAACCAGGTAGGTCTTCGGGAAAGACATCGGGGAAGTCGCAAACCGTACGAATGTCCTGCTGACGTGG